GATTGTTGCATAGGTACACACATGGCAATGTGGTTTGCTACCTCCACTCCCCCCCCACCGCCGTCACCTACATCTGGTAATTCTCCCCATGTTATACCTCCCCGACCTCCACAACCCCCTCCCCACTGTCCCTCCCTTGCCACCAGCCCCCCAACAGACCCCTGCTTCTTTGTATTCAGGAGATGTTCTGGGCTCACACGGGGAATCTTGGGCTAGGGAATGAAGATGATTTTAAATGTAACAACCCAGAGTCACAGTTCCTTAGTCTGGGAAAGTAAAACTTAGCTTTGAGCGCTTAACTGTGCTGCTGTTTTGACACAGGTCTTTTACAGATTGGAATCCTAATCTGTAGGATTTTAATCCCTAATACAGGGATTACCAGTATTGTGCTACCTACTGTATTAATAAACAAAAAGGGAACTGTTCTCTATGAGAATCTCTGTCTGGTGCCTTCAGACAAAACTTGACCAGGTTTAGAGAGAAAACCCCTGTCTCTACACCACCATTCCCAGGGCGAGCTCACTCTCTGGCATCAAGCTCCCCATGGTGAGTTTCCTTGTACAAGAGTTCGAGGGGAGAGGTATGGAGTGGGAGGCACGGGAGTCCAGTTCAGGGACTCGGATTCCAAGACAAGAAGTGATGGGGAAGGGGCAGGGCGCAGCCCTGGCTTCTCTGCCTCTCCCCGGTTTCCATAGACAGGTCCTTGGCCAGTACTCATGCAATCAGTACGACAAAGAGGCTCCTGAGGGATCCGGACAAAGTCCCAAGTCCTGGGCGTCGGTATCAGGGTGTCAGGTTCCAAGGGCCCATCTGCACTGGGGAGCAGCCCAGATTCCCCCACTTTCCTGTGTTTCACCACTTCTCCCAACCTATGTTGGGTCCTTCTTCCAGGATACTCAGCAGGCGACCCCAGTTCCCACTTCCATTCGATGTAGAAAAGACAATCAGCGCCGTCGCGGTCCCGGTTCTAAAGTCCCCACGTACCCACCTGGACTCAGATTTTCCCCAGGCACGGAGACTGGGGTCATGGCGCCTCGAACCCTCCTCCTGCTGCTCTTGGGGACCCTGGCCCTGACTGAGACCTGGGCTGGTAAGTGCAGCGTCAGGAGGGAAAGGACTTCTGCCGGGAGGAGCGAGGGTCCCGGCCGGCGGGGGCGCAGGACTCTGGGAGCCGCGCCGTGAGGAGGCTCGGGCGGGTCTCAGCCCCTCCTTGTCCCCAGGCTCTCACTCTTTGAGGTATTTCGGCACTGCCTCGTCCCGACCGGGCCACAGGGAGACCCGCTTCATCGCCGTGGGCTACGTGGACGACACGCAGTTCGTGGGGTTTGACAGCGACGCCGCAAGTCCGAGGATGGAGCCGCGGGCGCCGTGGGTGGAGCAG